TAATTTTTGAATTTATTTTGTTATATGCGATTTCGTTTCTTTTTGGAGGTAGTTTATGTTTCGAGTTTTGAATAAAGTTGAAACAGCATTTTTTGTTCACGTCTTTCGTCGCAAGCCGACTGTTCGAATCGAAATATCTCGGTGTCTTGCTTTTGTTGCATTTACCCGTGCTGTCGTATTTCGTTTGCGTAAATGTCTTCTTCATTGTTTCATGTTAGATTTTCCGGCGAACCTAAAAGCTGCTGTAAAGTCGTTTACTCTAACTGTTGGTCTCTCGAAAAGTGGTGGTAAGCAAAATTTCAGCTTCGATTATTCTGCAGTTCACTGCTATCGGAAGAAAATTTAAGGTTTAGTGACGTGCCATGAACCGAATTCATATTCGTTTTAATTAACATGTGCTCAGATTTTATTCAGAACTAGCGTCCCATCCTCTAATGAATTAGTAAGTTTCTTTGCACGTTAGAATCCTGGTTCAAAGCCATCATAAGCATAAATTTTCTCATTAATTGCAAATTTTCTTTCTTGAGCTAGGAATCCATCCCACTGTACTTCAGTGCAACCTGCCGAGAAACGGACTGCCGTTGACCTGTGAATAATGGGAACAGGATGGAGTTTTGGTAGGATCATGTTAGAACGAGACGTACAGCCATGTTCTCCAATGTACATGATGCGCTTTACGGCTGCAATTCACTTTGACCCACCTGATAGCTAATCAGAATTTGGCAGTCAGTGTAAACGCAAGTTCAAAATTAACTTTTATGCACGTTCGTTTGTCCTGAACATGTGAGGAGATATCTGAGCATTTCTTATGAAACCTTAATTTCATATCAAATGAGTAAGAACTTTGTGCATATCAAGTAAAAAATAGTTTTTTGTGTTTTCATTTTTTTTAAATCTTGTTCGAACATATGGAAGTACGAAGTTGTGTTTAGGGCGCGTTGGATAATGCAGCAATGCAATGGGAAGCGTGTGTGACAGCGCCACTGCAAAAATCATGTTAGAGGTCAGCTCGCCAGCTGCTTCATCTACGTGAAGAATAATCTGTTGCCTTATTATCTATTTATTATCTGTGGCCTTTTTTTGCAACACATTATTCAAAATTTCCTGCTTCTTTTTATAATTTTCTGTCATACTCTTTCTGTGAATGATGTCCATTTTTGACCGCTTTCGGATGTCACTTGTCCGTCGTTTTCTAGATCTTCCTTTCATGCATTGCTGCGAATCCAGCTTCATTCGTTGTTTGACAGCGTGACCGCACGATCGTAATTCGAATTCTTCTACATTCTGAAACTCTTGGGTTCAGCGTAAGGTTATTGAAAACCCATTCGTTTTGGTAAATGTCTTTCGTTGAGCTTCGTAATT